TTATCCTGAACTTAAACTATAAATTAACACATAAACCTTACAATAAAAAACATTGTAAGATTTATGTTTTGAAATTATGGGGATTCTATATTTTGGGATTTGGGGAAAATATATTTTGGTAATTTGGGATTTTGGAAAAATATATTTTGGGATTTTAGAAAAATATATTTGGGATTTTGGGAATTTGGGATTTAGGTGGTAAAATTGGTTGAGGTGGCGTGCCCCTGTTGGTTAATATGGTTGAAGTGGTTGACTGAGGGGATTTTATCTGAACTGGGGCATGCCCTTTGGTAGGTGTTGGGGGGCGGCAGCCCCCCCCATGATGTTGTTTGCAGAAGTGATGATTTGAATAGGGGTGCAATCAAATCTCTGCAAAAAGTCTAAAAAAAATAGCGGGGGGGTTGGGCGGGGGGGGGGCAGCCCCCCCCCCATGATGTTCGAAGAATTGATGATTCAACTATGGGTGCAATTAATTAAAATCTAAACGTAGCGGGGGGGTTGAGGGGGGCGGCAGCCCCCCCCAAGATGTTGGAAGAAGTGATGATTCAAGTAGGGGTGCAATGATTCAAGAAAGGGTGTGATAGAATTTAAAGGCAGTGGGAGGGTTGGCGGGGGTGGCTTCCCCAATGATGTTCGAAGAAATGCAACATACAGACATACATGGATTACACAGATTACCTAAAATGTCGTATTTTGCAGCATTTTCTCGCGAAATTGGACGCTCGAAAAAGTGATGAGTCAAAGTGCAATTCAATCTCTGCAAGAAATCTACTAGAGGACGATTGGCCCGAAGGCATTTTTCCACAGGCGCTCATCCAGCCGCGGAGACACCTTTTTACATTGCTGCGGCGAGCGTGTCTGCGCGTGTGTATGGTCACATGAGAGCTCCATCTCATCATCCTACTTTCCTCTCGAACTGCGCCGCGCGATTTCTCACGAAAGCGGTCTGCGCAAGCTGCATTGTTCCAGGCTGCTGCGCGCAAGTTGCTCTCTGCAAGCTGCTGCGCGCAAGTGCTCTGTGCAAGTTGCTCTGCGCAAGTGCTCTGAGCAAGTTGCTCTGCGCCAAGTGCTCTGCGCCAGTTGCTCCGCGCAAGCGCTTTGCGCGTGTGCTCTGCGCAAGTTGGTCTGTGCAAGTTGCTCTGCGCCTGCTCTGTGCAAGTTGCTCTGCGCAAGTGCTCTGAGCAAGTTGCTCTGCGCAAGGGCTCTGCGCCAGTTGCTCCGTGCAAGCGCTTTGCGCATGTGCTCTGTGCAAGTTGGTCTGTGCAAGTTGCTCTGCGCAAGTGCTTTGTGCAAGTGCTCTGTGCAAGTTGCTCTGCGCAAGTTGCTCTGCGCAAGTGACTCTGCGCAAGTGCTGCCGGAGCTGTGGGAATGTACTTCGCGTACTATTTTTTGTACTAAAAAGTTGCGATTTTCCTGCCAAGCTGCGGGAGTGCGCTCTGCGTACTACGTTTGTACTTAAAGTTGCGATTTTCCAGCCGGAGCTGCGGGAGCACGCTCCGGTCTGTACTTAAAAAGTTGCGATTTTCCAGCCGGAGCAGCAGGAGCACGCTCCACGTACTACGTTTGTACTTGAAAGTTGCGATTTTCCAGCCGGAGAGGCGGGAGCACGCTCCGCATACTACGTTTGTACTTAAAAGCTGCGATTTTCAAGCCGGAGCTGCCGCGGACCAGGGGGGAATCGAACCCGCGACCGCGGGATTGCGAAAGCAGGCGCGCGAACCACGAGACAGCTTCCAAAGGCCGTTTCGCGAGCAAGAATATTGCACGGCGCCACAGCGAGAGCGCTTCGACACGCACAATCTCCGCAGAGGGTTCGCCGAGACTAAGACAGAGGGTCGCGCGCGGCCAGCAGAAATCGTAAAGTCCTCAGTTTTTGAACCTCGACCACGCGAATCTCCGCAGAGGGTCGCGCGCGGCCAGCAGAAATCGTAAAAAGTCCTCAGTTTTTGAACCTCGACCACGCGAATCTCCGCAGAGGGTCGCGCGCGCATGCTAAAAATCGTAAAAAGTCCTCAGTTTTTGAACCTCGACCACGCGAATCTCCGCAGAGGGTCGCGCGCGCACCGCAGAAATCGTAAAAAGTCCTCAGTTTTTGAACCTCGACCACGCGAATCTCCGCAGAGGGTCGCGCGGGCATGCTAAAAATCGTAAAAAGTCTGCAGTTTTTTGACCTCGACCACGCGAATCTCCGCAGAGGGTCGCAATCCCGAGCGACGATCAAACTCCCGCCCCGGCGCCTTAGAAACCTAACTAACTTACATAGCTGCTAACGCCGCAGCTCTAAGCTCTACCTAACCTTGGTCTATGTAACTTGGCTCTATGTAACTTGGCTCTATGTAACTTGGCTCTATGTAACTTGGCTCTATGTAACTTGGCTCTATGTAACTTGGCTCTATGTAACTTGGCTCTATGTAACTTGGCTCTATGTAACTTGGCTCTATGTAACTTGGCTCTATGGGCTCTATGTAACTTGGCTCTATGTAACTTGGCTCTATGTAACTTGGCTCTATGTAACTTGGCTCTATGTAACTTGGCTCTATGTAACTTGGCTCTATGTAACTTGGCTCTATGTAACTTGGCTCTATGTAACTTGGCTCTATGTAACTTGGCTCTATGTAACTTGGCTCATGGAACTTGGCTCTATGTAACTTGGCTCTATGTAACTTGGCTCTATGTAACTTGGCTCTATGTAACTTGGCTCTATGTAACTTGGCTCTATGTAACTTGGCTCTATGTAACTTGGCTCTATGTAACTTGGCTCTATGTAACTTGGCTCTATGTAACTTGGCTCTATGTAACTTGGCTCTATGTAACTTGGCTCTATGTAACTTGGCTCTATGTAACTTGGCTCTATGTAACTTGGCTCTATGTAACTTGGCTCTATGTAACTTGGCTCTATGTAACTTGTCCAAGGGCTCCGCACGGAAGAACCCTTCGCGATGCTTTCGGGAAAAAAGTAACGGGGGGGAGGCGGCAACCCCCCCCCATGATGGTTGAAGAAGAGTTAATTCAAATAGGGGTGCAATTACTCCTGCAAACAATCTAAACAGTAGCGGGTGGGTTTGCCGAAGAGGAACTGGGAATGCAGAGGATGCGAAAAGCCAAAAAGCCACCAAAAGCCGCATAAACCAGCAAAAAGCCGAAAAGCCCAGAAGCCCAGAAGCCGTGAAGCCAAGAAGCCGAAACACCAAGAAGCCAAGAAGCAAGCCAAGAAGCCAAGAAGCCAAGAAGCCAAAAAGCCAAGAAGCCCAGAAGCCGAGAAGCCAAGAAGCCGAAAAACCAAGAAGCCAAGAAGCCAAGAAGCCGAAAAGCCAAGAAGCCGAAGCCAAGAAGCCAAGAAGGCAAGAAGCCAAAAAGCCAAAAAGCCAAGAAGCCAAGAAGCCAAAAGCGGAAAAAAAAGTCCTAAAAAAAAAGAAAAAAAGGTCCTAAAAAAAACAAAAAAAAACTCCAAATAGAACCACCATGCGACCACAAGTGTTGGTCCTTCTTTCCATTTACGAGGGTTCAGCCATACTCCATTAGTAAGGGCTTTTCGCTGGTTCATGCGGCTTTTGGCGGCTTTTGGCGGCTTTGGCTTTTCGCATCCTGAAGGCTTTTTGGCTATTGGTTTTTGGATTTGGTTTCCCGCATCATCAGCATCACCACCACCCTTTTTGAATCATCACTTCTTCGGACATCATGGGCGGGATTCCCTAACTTCAAATTGCTTCATGCCTCCGAGGAGCCTCCAAGTATTCCTGAAATGCAGCCACCAGCTCTTCATGCTCAACTGGCACCCAGCCCTGCTGGTCAGCAGGGGGCCGCGCAGCCCCTTCAGGATACAAACGAATCCCGAAAGGGTTCCCAAGGCAAGTTGAACCTCAGCTGATCAGGCGCAAAGACGCAAAGGCGCACAAGATGCCAGTCATTTCTATGCCACGGAGCGGTTGCACACCACGTCCCGGATGTCAGGCGGCGGAAGGTCCCAGAACATGGCATGCTCCACTACGCCGATGGAGACCTGACCTGCGCTTCTGTGGTGTTATGATTTATGATTGAAGCATCACCTCTTGGAACCGTGGCAGAGCATGGGCCAAGATTGGAAAACACACAAAAAGTTGATCAGCCAATTTGCCTGGGGCAAGGGAGACTGATGACCTCCCTACTTCCCTCGCCTGCCCCGCCTTGCCAATGCTCCGGCACATGCTGTGGCCAGGTGCATCGCCGCAGCTCTGGTGCAGCGTGGGCGAACCTCGCAAGAAAAGATCAGGCCAAGTCATGAGTCATTTCAATTAGAACTTCGAGAGTGCAGCTTTCGCTGACGGGTTTGATACCCATCCTAGAAGACTCAAACATATCAGACGCCATTCAGGAGACCTACGCGAGACCTGCCCAAAGCCATGTCAAGAATCAAGAGGGTGGCACGCTTCTATTCTGGTTGGGACTGCCGCGAATTGGGCTTCAGTGCGGCTGAGCCCCGGACGTGCACTTGCTCCCCAGGCCTCAGGAAAGCACATGCCGCCCGCACGCGCATGCTCGAAACGCCCTCTGTTGTGGCAAGCCAAGGGTTGGCAATAGTTTACACGAACATGCTTACGTCACAAAACCAAGGCCGTGCGACAAAAAGGTGCGAGGGACCTGGTAGGCTGCCAAGCAGCTGCACGGCGCCTGCACCACCACCGCCTTGCCGCCAAAGGCGAAAAAAAGGCGTGAAAGTTGCCCAGGAAGTGGACTCCCAATTTCTTGGGCCAAAGGCGACTCCTCAACTTTTGGACATGCGACCGCTGCGCGGGCTGAAAAACTGAGGCCGAGCCGCTTTGCACCGTCGGCTCTTGTACACATCGTCCGATGAATCCCAATAATCATCCCATGGCATGGCGCATCCCAGCAACCGCTGAGCAAAAGCAGAGCCAGCCTTCAACACAAGGCTGTCAATACATGGTCAATGCCATCCAATGCCTAAGGGCAAGCTGCATTGCATTCATAGCGTCTCAGCTCCAATCTCATTGTCGAGCGCTTGCCTCAGACTCTGCTGGACGGGATTCACCATCCCTCTCTGTCCTGCAGAGTGTGCAGACTGGGACACTTGGGACTCTTGAAGGCTTCACACACTGCGCATGGTTGTGCGATGCACGGCTTCTCCCGGAAGTCGTAGACTGCGAATCCAGCCTCGCACCAAGCCCAGCCAAGGACGCCCACAAACCAGGTGGAAGAGGATGGGATCTAGGTTGCCAGCTGTGCGAACCAAGCATCCGCAGCTGCATGCATTGCTAATGCCTGGCAACAGTCATCATGGCACGCCCCAGCACCATGGCATGTTCCCCCCACACACCCATTGAAGGCCATGCCAAAAGAAAACACATACCAGAGGAGTGCAGAGTCTTGCTGAGTCATCAGCCTCCTCCTCAACCTCTTCCTGGCGACTGCGCACTCGGCTGGGCACTCACGCCAACTCATTCCATGGGCCTCGGCTTCGGGCTCGGCCTTCTCAGCTTCTGCCTCCTCGCCAAGTCCGGACCCTCCAAACCCTCCAGCCTTTCGGCACTTTGCCGCCTGGTTCCGGTCCCTCTTGGCAAGCGAGGCCGCCACACTCGAGCCTGCCGCGGCAAGTCAAGTGACCTTTGCCAAAGATTTGCAACCAGAGCCCTTAGTGGCTGCATTATAAGAGTTCATAATGATGATACAGTTTCATCTTCAGTTCGATGTTGGCACATGCAAGCGCCTTTGCCCGGGCGCTTCTTGCGAACGGTGCCTTGCGCGAATCGCCGCTACAAACCTCTCTGACTGGAGTCTGGAGATTGGGCTCTGGCGTTCTGGGCGCTTCTTCTTCACAAGGAAAACCTCCGAAGTGGCCTTAAGCAATCGCAGCAAGAACCAAGACTTCTTAAACCTTGGTTAGAGCAGCGCGGATTCCATCTCTTCTTCATCGATGCCTTGCGTAGCAAACATCAAGCACGAGTGAATCTCAAGATCCATTTTGGCATTTCAATTGGTGCTGAGAGCTTGGGCAAATGCCTAAATGCATTGTCCGGAGGTCATAGCCCAAGGCCACATCCTTGCCCAAAAGCGGCACACGTCCAAGCGCTGGACAAGTGGCCGGTCACAGCTCCCTCAGGCGAACTGGGCTTCCGGTCCCCGACTTGAAGTACACCACCTGCCCGCCCCTCACACCCATGACGCACACGCCACAAAAGCGACGGCCTAGGTGAGACCGCACCAGCACGCGATCGTCCTCACTGTACCCGTCTCCCACAGCATTTGAAAGGCTTCCAGCTGGGGCGGCGGCGTTCTTCCCAAAATCAGAAGTTCTTGCCACCTGCAGGCTGCCCCATGGATTCAGGCCCTCTGCATGGAAGATATAACAGCTCGCTGCTGGACTGAAGCGCTGCTCAGCCCACGAAGCCGACTCTTGAAAGCACTATGTTTGTCTCCTGCTTGCATTCTCCCACCAGCTTGGGCTCATGAGCGACTCTCCCCGTCCTTCAAACGCCAAAGTGGCTGCGCACTTGAAGCCCAGACGCCTCCACCTCGCAGGCGCCTGCACGGCCTGCGCACCTCACGTGCAGGGTGCAGCCCTCGCCCAAACTTCCTCGGGCCCCACCCGTCTTCCACATCCAGCACCACGAACTCCTGGCTGCGTGAGTCGGCGACTTCGAGGTCGAGAAAGCTGACTGGAGGCCAGTCTTCTGCTTTCATTTAGTTGCTGTTTCTGCACAAGCCCGGTGATACTCTGGGATCACAAATCCAGGGTAGCCACTTCCTCATCACCCCGGGCATCTCTGCAGGCCACATGGGTGTCAGGTGTTTTCTTGATCTGTGGCCACGGCCGTCATGTGAGCAGGCAGGCCCACGGAGTTGAAGGGCTTGCGCCAGTACTCCGCGGCCACCTGAAGCGTCCAACTCTATCCTGGAAGTGACATGTTGGAGAAGTGCGAAGCCAAGAAAAGACCGACTTTTGTTCTGCACACTCACTCAGGGCGGGCCCACTCCAGCTGTGCTTCCATGACATGCCAAAAAAAAAAGACATCTTGAAATACTTATTCCACATGCCTCGCATCTACGAAGAACGCCTGCATTCCTAAAAGTTGTAGTGGAGAAAAAGCGGAAACCCCCACTAAAACCCTCAAGACCTCGGAAGCCAAAGAGATGCCTGGGAACCGCCAAGCATGCGTCGCCTCCACCGAGCGCATGGAGACAGGGTCCAGCAGGCAGAGCTGGGAGGCGGCCTTGGTGCAGAGCCTTAGTGACGGGTGCGGCAAAGCCGATGCCCGAGTGAGTCATAGCCAAAACCTGGCTATAAAATTGGTCTACCCAGAACTATGTGAAGAATTATGAAGGCGGCCCCGTGTTTTGATTGTGGCTCAAGTGAGCCCACATCGACCAGCGCTGCAGTTGCTCCAAGCTCCAAACTCCAAGTCCAACTGGAAAAGATGAATCCAGCAGATGATCGTTGGGGTCAGCTCCAACATGATTAAGAAAGGGCGTGATGATTTCCCCTCCCAAGAAAACTGGCTGCATCACTGAATCCATCACCCGGGTTCCAATCACCTGGGCCCTGGCATCAATGGCGGCAGGCCACCCAATGCCTGGAGCCCGCCGGGCAGCTAAGCATGCATCACCCTTTTGGTCTTGAGCAGGCTCGCACCCGAAGTTGGCCCTTAAAACTGACTTGAGAAGAAACTCTACGGAGCCCTGCCAAGTCACGGACTAACTGGGACAAGCTGCCTGGGCGACTTTTCGTGGGAGGTAGACCAAGTCGTCCCGACCTGGAAGCAATCGGGCGCCCGTGCACATGTAAGAGCTGCTCGCAACTGGCAATCTCATCTGAGCTTGTCATTGTATGGGTCCCGGCAAACTGGACACACTTCGATGCATGTGGTCCGTTTGAACCGGTACCTGCACGAATTTCAACTTGGTCCTCGCAAGCTCCCATTCATGCATGTGTGTCTGAAGGGAAGCTTTGCAGGGCTTGAGACCTTTCTGCTGTAACGCGATGCTGCAGATGCGGCATGGGCAAGCTGCGGCCAGCACTTTGGCATAGCCCTTACAGGCATGGCCCTTGTGAAACCAGTTGCGGTGAACAGCGCAGCTCATGCCCGCAGTTTCAGCTGTTCAGCCCACATCTCAGTGAGAAACCTCAGCAAGCAGCCTCTGAGAGAGTGCCTGGAAGTCGGCTTCTGTGGCCCGGGAGCATTGGCAGATTTCAGCCTTCACCCCATCCAACAAACAGCTGGGATGGACATCGCTGCGTGTGCGGCGCAGCTGCTTCCGCAGAACTCCCTCCAGCTTGGGCAGGCTAACGGGCCGAAGAAGCTTCTCCGGACTTGCCATCTTCGGAACGAACTTCGGAACCTCAGCCTTTGGCGCGTTGCGCGCGTCCACGATGCGCTGCATGCGTGCGGCCCTCTCATTGTCCCGCTTCAGGGCAGAAGCCTTCAGCAGCTGATATGCAGATGGGTAGCTCCATCGGAGCGTGTCATGGGCTGCGAATTGAGCACGGCTGGACGGAATCTCCGCCATGGCTGGCGTAACCACCCTCAGCCATGAGCTTGCGCAATGCAACACTTTGTGGCAACCTGACTTCAGTCATTCAATGCCCACATATGCTCACGCAATCGAACGAAACCCCGGCGACAAAGCGGCACGTGGTGTTCTGCGCGTTGTGGCTCACCAGGTGCTTGGACTCGTGATGGCGCACCTCAGCACATATGCACATGGGGAAAGCAAAGCCCTAACTGCCGTCCCTCAGAACCTGAATCACCTCTCCTGCCCCGGGGCTCTCACCACAGCCCAAGATTTAAGGAATGCGACAAAGTCCTGGGCAAGACAGGAGATGAGACGATTGCAGTGGGACTCTGCTAGGGTCCTGCGCATCACGTTCCCGGCTAAAAAAGAAGTCCAGGCCATCCTTTTGGCAAAGCGGGTCCCAAGACCAGCACATCCGCTTGGGCGCCTTTGTATTGTTCAGCTGGATGAGGTTCTTGTGTGCCTGACAACTGGCAACCTGCCATCTATCTGTAACAAGGCTGCTGGCCTGCCTTGTGCTGCAGGATCAGTTGCTCCAGCATCATTAAGGTCCGCCGGTGCCTGGCAGACCCGCCGATGGCTAGCCGTTCAAGACCAGGGCGTGGGGCCAGCTGAGCTGCCCGCTCCGAGCGCTGCCGCACCTGGCACGGTGCCCGCATGACCAGCTCTCCAGAGCCCGTCCCGCGCATCCACTATCCCTCTTGATGCTTGCTGCAAACCAAACTCTACTGACCTTGCCGAAAAACACCAGCCACTCGCCTTTTTTGCCACTCTTCTGAGAGGTGAGATCTATTATGTAACATGTGAATGAAATGTGACGGACCTCCAAAGCGGGTCCTCCACAAATAGACGTCTCCACAGCCATCTCAGGCTATGCCATACGCCCGCCGCGCCGTGCCGGAGAACAACTCCCGGACCTCCTCGCGGGAGTACGACTGCGAAATGGCCCGAAAAGCGTCCAGAACCCGGCGCGGCGGCCAGCCCTCTGGCTTATCTACCGGCGAGTTGGTCGCGAACATGCACCGGGACGGCCCAAACAAGCGAATCACGCGGTGCACAGCCTCCACCACAGCCGCATTCTGATCCCAGCCCGGGTCCGCGTAGCACAGCATGCTGATCTTGATGAAGGTGTTCGGACAGCTGGCCAGCTCAGCCAGGCCTGTCCAATACTGCTCAGTTGCCAGATCTTCTAGACGCGGGCTTCCCAAATGATCGATGATCACTCGGACCTCGGGGTGGGCAGAGAGGATTCCGGCCGCTTTGCTGAACTGGTGAGGGTTCAGCTGCAGGTCGAAGCTCAAGCCCAAAGGACCCAATGCCGCAAACCCCTGCTGCCACTGAGGGATGTCCAACAAATCACCCAGCCGGGCGTTTCGTGGCCAGTCGGGCTTGCTGTTCACAATCTGACGGACCCCTCGGATGCGCGGCATGGCGCTCAATTTGCCTAGCATCTCTGCAGCGTCGCCTTGCTCCAGCGCACAAGTGGGGACAATGACGTAGTTGCTTGCGCTTCCAAGCTGCTCCACAGCCAACTCCGCTTCCGCGAGGCAGTGCTTTGAATACCCCACGCCACTCGAGTCGATGTGGCACACGCTCACCGCCTCAATGAAGACACCCCCTTCAAAAGTAAAATCCTCCGAGAGGGACCGCATCTCCTCTTCATATGCCTCTTTCAAATACAGCTCCGGCAGCTTGGCAGGTGACAGCACCGCCCTGTCATGGCCCGAAGCTGTCCCCTCGCGGAGGTCCCACAAGTGAAAGTGTGGATCCACGAAGCCAATCTTCTCACTCTCCGGCGAGCCCATGGATCCTACGCCAAATTCCTATGCGTCGGGGAAGGGAAGCCAGCCCGGCTTTTCCATCTACTTCGCCCCCGTGAAGTCATACCACTGGCTTGCTTCCCCTACGCGAGACCTCACTCAAGAAGCGCAGTCTGATTCTTTGGGCTCAAACGCTCCAAACATCAGCTTGCCTGCACTCAGCGGCATGGCCGGATCATCACATGGCCAGCCATGCTTGCCGCATACGCAAACGATGAGCAAAACGACCGACCGCCCTGAAACTGTGTCACACCCCCGCGCCTGAACGGAACTGTCCCAGGTATGCTTTGTGTAGCTCTTCTTGCAGTCCGTGCACTGGAGATTGTTGACTCTAAGCCTCAGTCACCGCCTGATTCCACTTAAAAAACCAACAAAAATGAAGTCAACCATGACCTGTCAACTCACAACATCCCTTTCTCGAGTTTCAAGACCTCTGAGGCCTCTGCCCCCCCCCCAAAAAAAAACAACAAAACAAAAAAAAAGGAACAGAGCTCCTGGAGTACCAGTGCACCTCAATATCCCGAGCTGAAGCCCCGGGGCCGCAGCTCCACAATCACCGCCTGCCGCACCACCACACCCACCTGAAGCGCCCACCCTGACCCGACCCGACCCCGAAGGTTTGGCCTGGGCTGCCCACCATGGCCTCCTGCCTGGGAACCGAAAAACGCTCCACATGTAGCTGTGGGTCAAAACCCAGGAAAACCCTGGTGAACATGAAAATAGGTGGCAAATCGATGTTCACCCACCCCAAAATGGAATCATAGGTTATGCCCCATGGCCATGTGGAAGGGTGGGAAGATAAATCTGGCCCGTCAGGTGCCAGGGCCAAAAGAAGGTGCACATCGCGAGTGCTGAGTCGAGTGCTGGAGTTCCAGCTTCACCTTCAGCTCCTTGGAGTGCGGCTCCGTCCTCGGGAGCGAGTCGCGAGTGCAAAAACAACGCTGAGCGGGTGTTCTATTTGATGCACATCTCGGGTGTTTTGCCTCGGTGCACGTGCTCTTTACCCGGTGTGCACAGTGCAGGTGATGGCTCTGGGTCAGGTTTCTGCTTGGTATTGTGGGCCTTTCCATGTTAACGTTGACTAGGGCGGTCGTTCTTGTACTGTGCCCTCATTTTCCGATGTGTTTTCGGCTGGGCCGGGATAGTGTCTAAAACTGTATCACTTTTGAGGAACTCACGTTGCTTCGCTTTGCCTGGACTTCCGCCGGGCAGCCGCGCCAAATGAAGCTGGCATTCACCTGCATCAAGCCATCCTCCCCAAAGGTCGCAAGGAACTGGTCGCGCCAGCTGCAAGTGCTTCCCAATGCCTTTGATACTCTTCAGACAGATGGCCAGCCTCAGTCGACGAGTCGACGGCGGATTCTTCGGGGCTCGGATGTTTGAGGCTGCGGCAGCTCGCGGCTCTCCATGTCAGCGACAGCCCACCCCCCTCCGGGCCTCCGGGGCAAAAGCCGTTCACGAAACCAAGGAACCCAACAAGCAAAGAGCATCCGAGCGGAAAGCCCAATGAAAACAACCACGGTGGAACCACAACGGTGTATGGAACCATGGGAACGTGGTATTGTGGAGCTGGCCTTCTTGGCAGTTCCGTGTGATGCTTGCATGTGCCGCAAGCAGGCATTTAACAGGGCCCCAACCGAAGCCAGCGACCACAGGTCCCGCACCTAAGTCTGCCCACAGGGAGCAAGGAAAAATAGAACGACGATGCGGCCTCTGCACGGCAGCTCTTCGATTGACCCCTGCTCCCACATCCACCTACCAGCCAGAACTGAGTTCGGAATTGCATCTACCAACTGCAAGTTGCGTCACAGTCACAGTCACAAGGCGCCTCCCGGCGAAGGCATTGCACGCAACGGGCCCCTGTCGTAACTGCAGAGTCGATCCCAACCTGCGTGTTGGCCAAACGCAATGCACCATGCAACCTGATGACTTCACTGAGCAGCCCACGCCGCATATACAACAAAGAACCATTCTCCGTTGACTGGTTTAGCTCCAGAGTGCAAACCTGAAACATCATTGAAGGGCGTGCAACCTAGCTTTGCTGAAGAAATACTCTTTAAAACAATGGATGCTGACTAATTACAGTGGCCTGCCCGTCAATGTGTTCTAGCTCTGGCGCGCGAAGGCGCAAGCAAGCTGGAAGCATCAGCGACGCAATGCGCAATCCACAGCTCAGAATTGCCACTTGTAGCTGCAAACCCCTGCGGGCACTATTGTTTACTCTTGTTGCTTTTTTCCACCGCATGGTGATTTTGCTTTGTTTTTTTGCCTGTTGCTTGCAACTGCCATGCAACCATGGGCTCAAGTGCCTGCCAAGTAAAACGGTAAAGACTACAAGGCGATCGCATCAAGTCACCGCCATACCAGACACCACCAAAATAATGAAACCACTGCATGCAATCGCCAGGAAACTACAATGTACAAGTGGTGCGAAGCACGTGCCACCAAGGGCCTTCAGTCATCGCGCTGAACGGCAGTTTCAGCCCTTGGCTGGCAAGGTTTTGCTCAGCAAGTTCTGCTCAGCCGGGCTGGTCTGTATAGGGGCAGATGCGCCAACAGCTTCACAAAAGAACTTGTTAACGTGCAAAAGCGCTGAAGCGTCGTCCGCCCCAGCCTCTCGGCTGGTGAACTTGCGCAACGGATCACTCGCACGAGACAGACGTATTGCTCAGAACCTGAGATGAAGCTTCCAGGGGCTGTTCCAGTGGTATTTGTCCTGAGGCTGTGACTGGGTAAACCCTGCTGAAGTTTGAGGCATGAGTCTAAGTTCACGAGATGGGCCGCTGCCTCCCATCCTCATGGGACTCATGGGCATCGACACTCGAGAAGCCATTTGTGCAAGAGGTCCCGCATCCCGCGTAAGCACAGCACCACAAGGCATTGGACTGGTCGGCCCCGTTGACTGGGTCCTGGCGTTGGCATTTACTCACGCATTTGGCATATCTGCACGCTGTTGCTTAGACCCAATTCCTATGGCGACCTGCGGCGACCTGCTCTCTTTTCCTCTGGTGACGCAAAGCTGTACACATCGGCTTTCTTCAAATGCACTCGCGGCATGGGCAGGGGAAGGGTCCGGCTAGGCTCACAGGGGGCAAGGTGGAGGGCCCTTGAAGGCAGCATGAAAGAAGTCCGGACTTGGCGTCCTGGACTCGGCAACGACCAACTGGACTCGTCATCCATCCCATGGCCTCAGCCGCACCTTCCGCCGGTTTGCAGCCCGCTGGCGCGTCCGGCCGCTTTTCCTCGCACGACGCCTGCGAAGGCAAAGTGGAAAGGGCGAGAACCTTTTGGGGCCTGATTTGGCTGTGGGTCAAAAATAGGTACCCAAAATGGAACCCGGGCAAATGGAACCAAGCACTAAAACCTGCGGTCCCTGGTGCTTGAATTTTGACCCGTACCCATTTGCGGAGCTAAGTTGACAAGGTGATCGCCTCAAGTCCTCCAGGTTTCCTTCTCGGCTGGAGTCGCCATTGCTTTCCAAGCCCATGCCTCAGGGAAACACAAATGACAGCGTACAGCCCAGCGAACTGATGCAGCTGCAAAACCCCGTAGAACCTTCTTTTCAGGACCCTGGCCCGTTGCTCACAGCACATGTCAGCAACCCCCCCCCCGGCGTGAGCCTCCCTCACTTGATTCCTTCCCAGACTGAGAAGATATTGCTGACAATGAGTTCTTCTCCACGAGCTCAAAGCTATCGTCGCTGGAAACGTCACCTTGTCCAGCGCATGTGCCACGTGCAAACGGGTCTAATGCGACCATGGCAAACTGGCGCCAAGTCACCAACTGAGATCTCCTCTCGCGCACGCTGCACATCTCCCATCAGGACACGCAAGCGAGCAGCCCTGAGACAGTCAGCAGGCGTGTCAGCATCCTTTGACGGTCTTGGCGCAAATGTAAAAATTACTCTTGGCCACGAGGGAACCCTTTAAGCATGGCACTCGTTCACGGAGTAGGTTGGCGGCCGAGCCTGCCCTCCCCCACCAAGCACGAAAGCAAACTCAAGCAATCAATGCCGTGTGCTCGGGTGCAACTGGGCTGCACTGGGAGTTGCCCTGAGACCTGGCCGCGTCTTGCAGTCTGAAGGAAAGAAGCAAACGGAGCGCAAAGCGCACAAGTCACCGACCTTGAAGTCGCTTGGACTCGAGCTGAGCAGCACGTGCGGCAGCGCTGGAAGATGCTGCAGCTTGAAAACTGCTTGCCCAGCCCATCCTCAGCATAGAGTGGATCGCTGGCCGCAAGCGCCAGCAAAGGTCGATAACAGACTGTATGGAAGTGAAGCCAAGAAGCTTTGTGCTATTCTACACAGTCAACACTGCCGTCTTGTCTGAGAACGGCTGTAGTCATGCAATCTCACCTGCAGAGTAACAACTCATCATTTGTGTCTGCATGAGCAGTGCTGCTGGCAGCATGGCAGTCCCCCTCGTTGAGTTCCGTGTCGGCAAGGAGTGGGGCTGGCGTTTTCCGAGGACCTGTCAACCTGACGCTGTCTGCAACACTGTGTGCGCACGCCCTCGTCCAACTCTCCAAGCTCCATGCCATTTAAAGACTTTCCAAGCCAAAGCCACCACGCAGAGCGCCGCCTTAGAGCCAGTCTTGACTCCAACAGCAGATCAGAAAGCAGCTTCTAAAAAGATCCTGGCACTGACTTTTCAAGCCCTTAGGGTGGCACAAGAATGCCTCCGACTCCCAACACGCTGGCCATTGTAGTGTGAGAGGCCTCCGCCTCATCCAGGATGGCCTGGCCATAGCCCATCCGAGAAGGAATGCCAGAGCAAAGAATAGAAAGGGCGCCTCCAACAAACCCGTCGAATTGGACTGGTTCTCTCCAGCCTCAGGTACACGAACTGCATAACTGCAGAACGAATCGCCGTGCCTGCGTCTGCGGAGCGGTCAAATTGTCGCGCACATCGCTGGTTGCCTTCGAAGACCCACTTTCTTTGCATAATTGTAACACAATGTCGCCATGTAAGACAAGCTAATGATGGTGCCTGTGCAGTCTCCAACTGCAGAGTCGTGGTGGCTGCATCCGCCGGCACCGCCAGCAGCAGAAGCACAACCTGGCATTGCCGAGGCTACACGTTATGCACCCATGGGGATGGTGCGCCTTGCTGAAAGCAAGCGCTGTTCGCTGCATCGCGCCGAGAATGCAACCCCACACAGTTGTTCTCACAGTGGCCAGGTGCAAGTCAAGCGTTCGGCACATATTGACATGGGTCTTGATGTTTCCGCATGTTTTCCTGACCCTTGCACACTGGAGCCAAACACAAGTTGCACAAACACATTGCAGCGCATGGCCCACACTCCATAGCGCACCAAAAATCATGCCAACAACATCCCACCTTGCAAAACCAGTCAAAAGTTCAAACCTACACAACAACAAATTACAGTATTGTGACGTACTGGATTTTGCTCCCCCACATGGTTTTGTTTGCCCCCCGGCGCGACCCCACCAGCAGCGAAGCCAGCTCGCACGCGCCAAACAGCCGAATGCAGAAGGCGCCCGGCTAGCGCGCGTGCGCCAATGTCGCGGCGTCCTCGTGGCACCATCCGCCGGCACAACGAGGCACTGCGGCCTCGACCCGGCAAGCCCCGGCACTTGTGACGGGTAGCCATGGCCAGCGCGACTCCGTCACGGGCCGCTCCTGCGTCAGGCCAACCACGGGTGTCGGGCGGACTGACGAGCGTGGCGTCGCAACGCAGGCCTTTATGTGGCGCCATACTTTGCCAAGTCCGGCGACTCCTGCCGCAGCGATGCTGCAAAGAAGCGTCTCAAGAGCGCCGCGTCTGCCAGAGCCGCCCAAAGCGGAACAGCAAGGTCCCCAGCACTTAAGGCCTCCGTGGCCTGTGCCGCGGCCCTCTCCCACTGCGCCTCAGCCGCCGTGGCGCGCTGTCTGGCCTGCGCCAGGCAGCCCACAAGCAGCTCCAGGCAAGTCATCTGCCGGCTCGTCTCGACTTTGCAGAGGGTTGTGGCCTGTGCTGGCGAGGAATTGGAGTAGCTTTCAACTGGCAAACAGCGCACCTTCGCGAAGCCTCACCGGTAGCGCTATTGCCCCTTCGGCGAAAATGGTCAACAGGGCGGGCAAAATGATACCTGAGGCAATGCTTAAAACATAGTCTGAACTCTCAGCGCAGCACACGACCACAGCACATCGTCACTTGCAACACCCGTCGCTCGTGTCGACGCCTGGCGGCTCGAGGTGGTTGCCAACGCACTGCCGTGGTGGGCACCACTTTGGTATCCTCCTGGTCCGGCTCGGGGCCCATGCCGCCGGGGTGGTCGTGCAAGGCGCCGCCCTAGCACTTGCTTGGCGCAGACGCACCCTTTCTTGGCGCTCAGCCGGCGCACGCCCACCCCTGTGGCACACGGGCCAGTGATGGCCAGTGTGCCTTTCGTTGCCCGGGCTTTTGAATGCACCATGCCAATTCTGAACAAGCCGGCCCCTGGCAGCTGTCCAGGAATAGAAAGCCCGGTCGTGCATGTGCCACTCTTGACATCCTGCCTGCGCATTTGCACATTTGTTAGAAGTGCGCGGCCCAAAACGCACTCCCGAAGAACCCTTGAACGTGCGCACACAGCACCGTGGTCGCCAAAAGGGTCTCTCAGAGGGGGGGGGGAGGCGGAAGCGCTTCAGGAGAAGCACCTGGAACAAGTCGGATGAGTAAGCCGGCTAGCGAAAAAGCTTGACTGGGAGCGCAGCACGGCGTGGCAAGCCGGGTCTAAGCTTGCGAGAAAAACTTTTTGGCAATGGCCTGGCACTGCGTGCGCGTGTCGTCACAGCGGCGGACGACGCTGGCGCGAACCGATTTCCTTTGCGCAACTGAGTTGCCGCTGCGGCCTTTGGCGGCGTCGCTTACGATGTTTCACGATTGCTTTGCCGCAGGGGTTTTGCGGGCTGCGCAGGCCGCGAAGCCGAACGGGCACGTGCGTGATCTCGTCATGGAAGATGCGCTTCTTCGGCTAACATGTTTTG